TTATAAACCTTCTGTTTCACTCTTGCTGCTTCTGTAACAAATCACCCTTAACACTCGTTTCCATCCTCCCCACCCTGCCTGCACTTTCTTCTTCACCTCTCTTTTACACTGTCAGTTGGATGGTTGACCCCAGGAACCTCATCTACGTCACTCCTTTTACTCCTCGCACGTTCATTTTATCCACTTGCCTCATCCTCACACATGTTATCTGTCTTATTTCCTCTTCTCTCTCCTCCTCCTGCTCCCTTCTCTCCCAACAGATCAAAACATCATCTGCAAACATTCATAAGACTTCGTCATGTTGAACCAGTTTCAGTAATTGTTTAATAATATTACATTTATTTTGAATATTTCTACGTTTTTTAAGAATATATAATTATTTTTGTATTTCTGGTGAAATTTCTGACATGCACAGGTTGTTCCCGCCTCTCGGGGGCAGCATGCAGACATTTGGCTGTTCCCTGTCACGTGACGAGGTCAGTAGTTCCGGGGTCAGGGCTCGCTCAGCTAACATCAAGCAAACCGTTGACGGTAACACGGAAACAGAACGAGCTGACTGTCCTCTCCTCCGGGACGTTCTCCTCCGCTACCAGCGAGCCTCCTGCCTCTGGATCCCGGCTGTTCCCGCCTCTTCCTCCGTCCTCCTGGTCCGCACCGGTCAATAAGCCTGAAGCATGTCGGCAGTGCAGCGGATGAAAGTGGCAAACGAGCGACACAGCAAGACGATCACACAGCGGGGACACGTCCAGAAAACGTCGGTAGGGAAACCAGGGCTAACGGCTGACCCGTTAACTTAGAGCCCGTGGGCTGTGGCCGGCGTGTGGTCTGTAGATGTGATGTTCGTGTAGAAGTGAGCATTTAACTACGTTTATTTGATTTATTTAGAGTCGAATCCAGGAAACAGCTAGCTCGCTAAGTTAGCCACGGAGCTCTGTTACCATCACAGTCGCCATCATGCTGCATGTAATTGTTGTTAAAAACCAGTGAAATGGTGGGATAGTAACAGGGGTCCCGCTGCTGGCGCACTGTGAGTGGCTGTTTAGTGTGTCATCTTAAAGAGAGCCAGAGTCCTTCAGGAAAGCTGGAGTTTTAGCGCGCCGCTCGATTGTAATTTATAGAAATACGATTTTATTCTAATATATTAAAGGTTTATTTTGTGGTGTTCAATCGGCACGCACATATAAAGCTGTCGGCTGTTTGTGAGCTTTTTGGGGGCTTTAATCGTCCATCCCCTCTGTGTGATGAGGTGTAAACAGATGGAGTGGGCGGAGGCGTGCAGCTCAGTGCGCACATTTAAAACAGAATTTGTGTCAAAGAAGGTGATGTTAGGGAATCACACGCAGGCCGAATTTAACAAAGGGCTTCGGACCGTTTAATTGAAGATCAGCTGCTCGATTCTGTCCGTGCAGACAGAGAGCAGCGTTAAATGAGCTGTTTTCTGAATGGAGTCTGGTGCAGAGTGGCTGG